AATAAGAAAGAAAATAAGAAGAATAAAGAAGAAGAAGATTTAAGAGAAAGAAGGATAAAAAAAAAAGGGTTGTCGTCTGCGAGAAGAAGGAAAAAAAAGGAAGAAGAAAGAGGAAAGAATAAGGAAAGAGGAGGGGAGAGAAAGAATAAAACAATAGGAAAAAAAGAAAATTTAGTGTTGGTGTGACACTAGACATGGTCAAATTTCGGGCCGGGTCTGGGCCCAGCCCAGCGGGCCGACGAGTTAGGTTTGGCGGACCCTGAACCGGCACAGCCCAGGTCCGTTCCGGGTCGGGCCGGGCCCGAGTATGAGCCCGTCCTAATTAAAAAAAAAGAAGAAAATAGAAAAATTTGAAAATCATATGTTTTTTTCGTGCCGACACAGACTCGGTCCGACCCGTCGGGTCAGGGTCAAAAAAATCCCGAACCTAGATCGGCCCGGTTGAAATTCGAGCTGGGCCAAAACCCGTGGTCAGCGGGTTTGATCTGACCGGGTCCGGGACGGTTGACCCGTGGCCACGTCTATTGTGTTTGTGTCGTTGTGTGGTGTGAATGTGTAGGATAGTGACCATTTTTTTAAAAAAAATAATTTAGGGTAGATGTGGGTTTAATTTATTTAAGCTAAAGAAATTATTTTATTTAAAGAAATTATTTTATATTAGGGTAACTTCATTGCTATCAATTTTGGCTTTGGCTCTGAATTTGGGGGTGCAAAAAGGTTTGTTGTTGCTGGGAAGTCTGGTGTTGGGTGTTGTTGGCTTTCCAACTTTATGGTTTAAGACTATTTCAATTATTTATTTACTTGTATGGTTATATATATTATTAAATTTGGCTAAAAGTGAACTCCTCGAATAGCTTACGTGATGCACGTTTTAAAACACTAGTTATCTCATATCACTAAGTATTTTATAAATTTAGAAGTTCTAACACTGGATAATACTTCAAATATCTATAAATTATTTTGAACCACTGTAAATCGACACATACTCCCTATATATAATTCTCGAACGTGCTGAGACTAATAAGAGAAAAAAAATAATAACATTAAATATACACTTACCAACTTTGAAAAAAAGATATTTATGCCTAATATCAAGACTATCTCCAAACAAAAATGAATATATAAACAATATTTCGAAGCATATATTTTCGTCATGTCAGCATCTGAGGCGTGAGAATCTGCCACTTAAGCTCAACATATTTTGAATTAATACAGAGAGAGATGTGTGTAAAAGTATAAATATTAAAATGTATAACTGATGCAGTGCATCCCACATCGGGTTTGAAAGGAAACGAAGCAGGCCTTATATGAGGATGTGGATACCTTCACTAGTAAGACGCGTTTTGGTGGATGTGTATTGAAGCCCAGCCAAGAACAAAGCCGTGCGGGTGGCGGAAGTAGCCCAAAGCGGACAATATCTTACTAGGGTCTGCATCAGTTGGTATCCAGAGACCAGCGACGATCCACGATGCCGCCGAAGAGAGATAACGTTGACGATCGTTTCCAACGAATGGAAGAGCGATTCCAAAG